TAAAATAAACCAATAAAATTGGTTACGATTCTTAAAGATATCACGTAAAATATGTGCAAATTACGCGACTGAGCCACGCTGAAATTATTGAAAAAATATTGCAAACAAAAGAAGTTTATATAATATATACGTAAAATGGAGTAACGATCTGGACGCCGATGGATGCAGGTGGCTCAGGAGGGTGCTTTGTGGCATTCCTTTGCGGAGGCCTGTGTTCAGCAGTGGACTTCTGAAGGGTGGTGATGATGAAAATTATAAAATCTAAATATCCAGATCGGGCAATTCTCGACCTCATGCTTCCATTGAAATCCACATTTATCCACAATTAAGGATCAAAATGCAAATGCATTGTCACCCCTGAGGACTAAGATGCAATGCCTCGATTCCAGTAAAAAAGATCCCCGGTTTTCTACACTCACCATACGAAACACAGCAGCATTACGTTGCTATTTTACGCTGGTATTCTGTGAGAGTGTTGTCCTGCCCCGGTCGCGCCAACCTATTCGTGCTACAACTATAATATAGCTCCAGCGTGGCTCTACAACGTAAGATATCATGTATCTGTATACTTTTTTCTTTATAGCTATAAGTTTGGTTGTTATTAAAAAAAAAACATTTCTAAAAGGGTCACCTGCGGCCGATAGTGATTGAAGTAAGTGGCGCAAATATAAGGCTCTGAGAGTATCATATTTGTGTCATTTGCTGTAGAAGCTATCGGTACGTTTAGGTCCAAGAGCCGTGAAGCTCCTAAAGGAACTGTATCCGCGATTGGTCGTCGCTGCTGGCGATAAAAGGGCTGGTTCTTTTCTCCCTCAACGGCTATTTATTAAGGCATATGGTATAGCCATTCAGCGAAGAAACGAGCGCGTTCTTGACACGATATCGTAGGTAGTAGGAATGTATGATAATTGATAATATAATTCTTAGTTTTAGTTTTTTTTAATTATGGTTTCTTAATATACTAGCTGTTACCCGCGACTTCGTTTGCGTGAAATTTATTACCATTGGGCTTAAAGAAAGAAAGAAAGAAAGAAACATTTATTGCAACAAGCCATAAAGATAGTTGTGCACTTAAATTTTAGCATTTGTAGACACATCAATAAATAAAAGTATACCAAAACTAAGAAAAACAATAATTTGACGGATATAATATTTAAAAAAGTATGTTTATAAATACAGTAAAAATACGCTCCTTGCGTGTTGTTACGCTTTAGGAAAACGGACCTCACTCAGCTTATGCTGTCGCTGAAAAATTTAGGGTTGGCGTTGCGACAACGAACAGTTTACAAACACCGTTTTGTGTTCTACGACGATAAAACCGTTTAATGTCCTGGGTTCAAACAGTCTTCGTTGCACAAACCAGTCTTAGAATTACTTGGCGCGGTTTTTTTTATTTTACACATATGAAAACACAGTCGATATAGTTCAACTATCTATCTCACTCGGCGCGTCGTTGTCCTTAACGTTCTCGTTGTCTTTGATTCCGCGTTCATTTGTAAAAGTAGACAGAGACTAAATTTTATCTAAACATATAGTCGCAAATGATAATCACTAATGTTAATGGTAATGCTAAGCCTGTTGTAGCCAGTACTAAGCGTGGAAAAGTATGAAGGGAAGTTCATTACGTCGTTAAGTAAAGTCGATCGATAAAACGAATTATTTAGTAAACCATTTCGTACATTTTGAATTGTAGAAATTTGTAAGAAACTGCAACGAAAACGCAATTCTGCTTCATGTTGGATAAGTTTCGTCCTTTAAGCCAATTTTTCGTCTTCAAACCAGTTGCAACGACGACTGTTATCGTCGTAACTAAAACGGTTTCGATTCGTTCGTTAAAAATTCGACAATGACCCACCACTAGAAAAAAAAGCGCTGGTTTTATGGGTTTTAATTTTTTTACGCGTTGTCCTAATTTTTAAAACCCGAACGGACAAACAGACGGACCGACAGAAAACATTCTTAAAAATTGTTTTTTTTTTTGTTATAAGTACCGTATATACTTTCATATACATTTAGTAAAAAGCTGTTACTTTAACATTAAAACAGATACTTCAATTTTATTTATTTGTATAGATATTTGAAAAAAAAAACTTGTGCTTCGCGGTCAGTATCCTTAACCGTCGCTTGTTATTTATTGATGTTTTCAGGACGAAGAAATTGGTTTTATTAATACAATCACTCTGAACACGTCTCGCCGAGCACCGCGTGACTGTAGCAATTGAGTGGCGATTTTATATCGGTTCGTAGCGAAGGTCGATAATCGGATTCCGCTACGTTATATAATAATAATAATGTACTCCAGACCTAATTTAGGTCACGGCAGCCAGTGTTAACGGAGACTAGCCACCGGCGCAGGACAGGATTACAGTACCCAAGTGTATGCGCAAGCGCAGGTGCACTCTCTATTCCCTCACTTTCATAATCCGATGGGACGGTAAACCGACACCACCAACTTCCTGACTCCGGCCAGCTACTGAGAATTACTTGATGAAAAAGCTCAATTATTGATTTTTTCTGGCCCGATCTGGGATTCTTACCCAGCACCTCATGATCAGCAGTCGTACTACTATAACTACTAGACCAACGAGGCAGTCAATATAATAATAACGGAATTAGTGTTTTAAACGGTACCTCCACCCTCCACAACCGGTGTTGTGGAGGGATTATACATACATAAAACATAAATTACGCATGGAGAACATCCAGACTTAGAACTTTTACCACACTGCAGCTACATTATGGTTGCAGCACGAAAGACAGCAGTATTGCTGCTGTCGTTTGATGTCGTTATGAGTGTAGAGAACCAAAAACCCTTTTTTCTTGTAACGAGGCATTCTATATGTCTAATATCAGGTATGCCAACTGATTATACATTCTTAGGCCCGGTTTACATTTTAAGAAGTGACAAGTGGGAGTGGCAAGTGGAACTGACAAATGACAAGTGCTTAGTGCGTGTGAACAGGCAGTGACAAGTGATAAGTGGGAATAAAATACGCACCTATCACTTCTTACTTGCCACTCGCACTTGTCACTTCTCAAAATGTATACCGGGCCTTATTCGACGATAGATCTTGGTGATATCGGCCTCGGCTACTTTGCTCGTATGTTACCCTCATTCTATAAAAAATCTCATTATTTTCTCTAAGTCTCACGAATACATTTTCTGTGCGGGATTCAAACCCACGACCCTACAGCGCCGAACCAAACTCATAGATACTGTGCTACCGGGTCGTCAATATTGTGTACTAGTTTACGAGTATGACGTTCTCTTTACATTTGATAGCATGCGTTGAATTCGATTAAAGCCGGGAATGCTAAAATGATTATTGCAGTTTTAATTACGGATTTACTACGAGGTAAGTGATCGTGGGAAACGAACGTTAACGGCTAATAGTTTTGACTTGAGGCGCAGTGGCGTAGCATTTGGTTGGTACGGTTCACGGGTTTGAATCTCGCACGGAACTAATGTGGCCGATAAATATTTCTTTTATTTTTATTTAGTAAAATTGCAGTTTTAAAGTAAAATTGCAAATTAATACAATCATTCATAAAAAGAATAAGAAATTATATACTATTAAAATAGGTTAAAGATTACTTCCATAGCTTTCACGACTTTAGCCACAGCTATCGCAAAGTATAACTATACGTAGTAATCGTGGTAGAGCCACGCCGCAGCTATATTATGGTTGTAGCACGAATGAGTCGACTTAACCGCTCCACAACAGGTCCACGCTCTCGCAGAATAGCGGCGTAAAATAGCAGCGTGTTTCGTATGGTAAGTGAAGAGATCCGGAGGCCATTTTTACTAGAAACGAGGCATTCCATCTTAGTCCTCAGGGCAACGCATTTGCATTTCGATTCTTAATCAAGGATAGGAGGATGTATATGTATATGGGCCACAGCATCCACCTACGATCAAGTGGATTATGTGCTCGTTGGTCTCCATTATTTTATATAAAAAAACGTCAAAACTGAAATAGTAAAGGCAGCAGCACTCTTAGTTTTGAACACACTATCGCTTTGTATCAGACATTAGAACTTACTACTATCTTGTATATCACGCGTTATGACCTTCGACAGTAAAACTCTTATCTAAAGATTTGTTATTTTGATTGATTGTTTGTAACCTGAAGTGGAAGGCTTATTAGAAAGATTTGTACTGAACAAACACGTTAACGCGCAAAAGAGTTTAAGATTTTTCATAGATATGAGGGTGACAAACGAGCACACAGTCCACCGAACGGTTAGTGGATGCTGTAGCCCATAGGCTAAATCATCGATTAAGAATCAAAATTCAAATGCGTTGTCACCCCCGGTAATTAATATGGAACGTCTCGATACCAGTAAAAAGTTCTTCATAATTTCCAGTACCAGTTACTTGACTCCACCGAGTCAGTAATTCATTTTTGGGGCGATGTATACGCTTTTACAATAAAATCCCAGAAAATATACAAAATTTGTCATACGCAAAGTTCAAAAATTTTATTAAATTAAGTTTGTATAAAAAGGGTTATTATAATATTAAGGAATTTGTTGATGATAATAACCCCTGGGGAAGGGTGATCGCTACCGCTATTTCTAATTTGTCTTGTGTTGTTAATTGTAAACATGATTGTAAGCTATTATTTGAAAAAAAAAATAGTCCCGTTGGGTTTCTTGCTGGTTCTTCCCAGGACAGAGATTTTTTTTGAGAACCGGTGGTAAATGAAAAAATTGACTTTCATATCTTACTACATCTACGTTTTACATCTACGTTTATAATCTACGTTGAATAAAAAGTTTCTGTTCTGTTTTGTTCTGTCTTTCTCATATTTACGTGAACACTACACATTCATTAAAACTACTCTTACGGATTTTATCGCGTTTAATTTTAATTATTTTAATTAGCAATGCGCCGTGTACCAGCTAGTAATATATAATAAATTAATAACATAATCTTATTTTATATCTTTATATCATCGTTCTCTTTAACTAATTGGTCAACTGTCTGCTTGTTCCAGTCCTCCCACATTCAAAACCCTGACGCCGACCTCACGTACTCAGCTGAAGCAACAGTTGATGCGAGAGCATGCCCAGGAGCAACTACGTAGAGAATCATTACAGGTGAGTTTTATTTTATTTCTTTTTTCTTTTTTAAAAAAAAAAAACGTTACCCCTACACTAAGATTTTCTCCTGTATCGTAGGGGCAGTTTACAAACATAAATTGCACAAGGACAAACATCCTGACACGGGACAACTATTTGTAGGCCATACAAATATTTGATCCGTGCGGGATTCGAACCCGCGACCCCCAGCGCAGCCACTCATTGCTAAGCCACTGCGCCACGGAGTCGTATTCTAACAGATAAATTACAACCGGCACAGGACCATGCTTTGCGGTATTACTTAGGACGCCTTAGATCATCAGTGGACTTGTGAAGGGCTGTAATGATAACGACACGGTGATGAGTCAAATTTGCATTTTGGTGGTCTTTAAGCCTGATTCAACACGTAAACGTTCCAGTACAGAAAATTGTTTAGTAGTTACACTAATTTGGCTATTATAAGAATAAAACCTTACATTCATAAATAAATAATACAAAAAACAAACAAATAATGCGATTTGGGGACCTTAAGGAAAAGAGCTTATTCCCCTGGTGTTGCGGTTGATCATGGGCGGCGGTAGTCACTTAACATCAGGTGAGCCGCATGCTCGTTTGCCCCCTCCCCTATAAAAATAAATTATTAATAAAAATCGCGTGAAAAACATACAGATGACGCGAAACACCGATACTTCAGGAAGTCTGCAGTCTTTAAACATATTCAGGATCACCTCTAGCGTTATATTAGATTAAATAGACCACAAATCAGTTAGTGATCCGTGAAACTATTTAATTTAAGAAATATTACGTGGGGTATAGTGAAAGGTTTGCGTAACTCATAAGTAAAACAATTTACTATGTAAACTAACATCCACAGCTACATCATCATCGTCATCGTCATTATTACAGCCCTTCACAAGGCCACTGTTGAAAATAGGCGTCCTCAAGAAACGCCACAAAGCACGGACCTGTGCCACCTTCGTCTATCGACTTCTTGGACGCTCTACAATTCGTCTACCGGTACGAGGCTGTCACTCGAGAACCTTTCTTCTCCATCGGTTGTCGGTTCTTCGAGCTATATGGCCGGTCCATTGCCACTTTAGCTTAGTTAAGTTACCCGTGTCTTCGCTTGCGTTTAATTAAGCCAACGATTTTTAATTATTGATATTATTTCAACTAAAAGTTCACCGTATAATGGCGGAGTAATTAAGTTATCTAGTGAGTGTCGTAAGACACAAAAAAGGGAAATGAAATAGAAGATGAACAGCGGCATATTTTTTATTATAAATAAACATAATAACAATATTACAGTTGCCTATCCGCCTGCCAAGCGTGGTAACTATGGTAGATGAGGCAATCGGTGCAGTAGGTCACTGTGGCTGACTGGAAATTTGATAGCCTGTAATTAATGAATGTATGAACAAGTGGTAAAAATAAAAAAAAATATGTAATTCAATATATATAAAATGAGAGCATCATCAATGTAGTCGACAAATATCTAGTAACTTTTTTTACAGTTTGGAGAATACCAGCAGGTAAGGGACATGCAATCAATTTTAGTGTGGGAGTTATTTCTACGTATCATTTGACTACCTCATTTGCCTAGTGGTCGTAAACGCAGTTGCAGATCATGAGGTCTCCTGGGTTCGAATCCTGGGTCGAGCCAGTAGTCTCAGTAGCAGCCGCGAGTCAGGAAGTTGGCGGTGTCTCATCCCAGTGCCCCGGAAAGCATTTTTTTACGTGGTAGAGCCATGCAGTTATATTAGTAGTATATTTGAAGCACGAATGGGTCGGCTCGACCAGGAAAGGACCACACTCTCACAGAATTCCAGCGTAAAATAGTAGTTTGATACTTTCGTATGGTGAGTGTAGAGAACCGGAGACCCTTTTTACTGGAAACGAGGCGTTTCATCTTAGTCCTCATGGATGCCTACGCATCCGCACTTTGATTCGTAATCGAGGATAGATGTAGATGTCTATGGGCCACAGTATCCACTTACCATCAGGTGGACTGAGTGCTCGTTTGTCACCCTATCCTATATAAAAAAGCACGTAAAGCCATTGGCTCTGCGCCTGATCTCTCTCGTGCTCTCGTCTCTAGACACTCGTGCACTCCTGTCCTGTGTTCGCTGTGACCAATACTCGGTCTAGAGGACATTATTTCCTCAATCTAATTTACTGTAGATAATTTATATTTCGTATATCTGATTGTTGCACTATCGTGTATCATATGAAAGAAATTAATGAGTTAAACATGCAAGACGTCCGTTTCTGCTATCAAATTGTCTTGCACAGTTTTATCAACTCTGTTTTCTTCACATAATCGCTTAGTTTTTTAAATAAAATATAAAAAAATGCGTTAATCTTTTACAGGCACAGCAGGGGCAGTCGAAGGAGAATGCCGAAGACAAAAAGAAGTCGAGTCCGACGGACGTGCCACGTATTACGCCACACGTCGAGTTACCGCCGCAAGTGTTGCAGGTCAGAGTTACAGCTTTTGTATAACAATATCAATCTGAATACAGAATAACTGATTGAGTGACGAGTGTTCATCGGAGCGGGGCGGGCCGTTCAGCGTGCATGGAGAATTTACGTTTTTGTACAAGGAACAATCATCCTATGTGTCCTACGTGTTACATTTTTCATGTCGCGTACATGGTTTTTAAAATTCGATCCATTTCCGATCCAATATGTGATGAAAGTACTATCAGGCATCTATCCACTTACCCCCCAACCAGAAAGAATAATACGCCTAGGCAAGTATGATGGAAAGAAAACGCGCCCACTAAAAGTTTGCTTTTTAACTCCAGATATAGCCTTAAAAACCTTATTAAAAAATAAATTTAACTGCAAAGTAAGTAATATAAAAATCTTTTCCGATCAGACACCTAACCAAAAACAAGAAATGGCAAACCTTCGAGAAGAGTTGCGTCAGCGCAAAGAAAAAGGGGAAAACGACTTAATTATAAAGTATATAAAAGGAACTATAAGAGTATTTTATAATGGAACGGTAGGCTAAGTTACGGCTGGGTGGTTCTTAGGCCACCCCAAAGCCGCAAAACGCGCTACGTCACACACTCCACCTTACGCGCTCCATTGAGGAGTCGAAGTACTCAATAGAGAGCATTTGGTAACGTGCAGGGTCGCGTAATGACAATTACACGTTGTTGTACTAACAACACACAGGCTGCTTAGGTTGGCAACCCTATTCTCTAAGACCACTAGAATTTTAAAACATATTTTTTTTTAAATGCCCATAGAACAAAATGAATGTCGTGGATTTTGTTAAACTGCCACTACACAAAATGTTCACAGATATTAAAAAAAATCTATATCAATATTATATAACGCGGAGGATGTTTTTAATTTTGAATATTTGAATACGAAGAACGAAGTCAAACGCGACCGTGTTACATGATAGATACTTACAAGTGCAACGCGAGGTAACACGGTCGCGTATCTAATTGTTTAAAACTGAAACCTATATAATTACAAAGTTTATAACTCCGTGAACAATTATCTCTTTACAACTCTGAAAGATAAATTAAAATAACAAATACATACGTGTCGCAAACAATGAGTGTGTAGAATTCGATGGTAGAACGGAACCTCTTTTGTCGTCAACAATTATATGAAAAGTTAAAAATATTTTTACCCCATGATTTCTTTTGTTTACGCGAACACTACATATTTAAATAAAACTAGTTTTTACAAATTATTTTATATTCTAACTTATTTTATATTCTCTACGTTTCAAGCACTTTACAGTACCTATGGTCACATTGGGGACTGAGATGCTCGACGTCACGATGTCATAGTTAACCACGGCTTTCTTTAGATTAAAATTATTAATTTTGTGTACTGTGTAGATCGAAACAAAAATTAATAATTTTAATCTGGAGGTAGCCTTAACTATGACATTGGGACGTCAAATACCTCAGTCCCCCCGTGACCATGGGTGCTGTGTGTATGGGTGTGCTCGAAATGTCGGGAATATAATATAGGTTAATATACGCGATAAAATTAAAATAGGACTCATAGGAGAATTAATTGGAACTGAGAATAAATATTTAGTTAAATTAAAAGCTAGTAAAACATTTTTTTTTATTTAACATAATACGAAGAAAAACAGCTAAAACCATTAGTTATGAAAGAACACAAATATGTAACCATGTGACTGATAGGCAGGCTAGGCAAAAGTAAGCAACCTCTCCGTACAGACTGATAAGATAGTTGCAATCGAAAGTCTCCAAGCAAATACACGGTAGCTCAAGTAATGTGGGTCGCTTGACTTACTGAAATGTAGCAAATAGATTGACTAAGAATGCAATAAGTATTATGTACACCTTTTGTATCAATTATATACAAAAACCTAAAAAATATGCAGACCTTATCTACCCTAAGGTTTAAAATATTTATTAAAAAAATGTTTAGTAGGGCTTAGTATACTATTAAAGAGTAGGTACATGATTGATAGTAACCACTGGGAATGACGTGATCGCTAGCTACCATGCTGTTACAAAATGTTTTCATAACAATATAAATAGTATATCGTAAATTATGCTTTTAAATAAGTTCACTGGGTGTCTTGTTGGTTCTTACATGGACAGAGGTTTTTTCTGAAACAGTTTTAAAACTAAAAACTGACTTTCAATAAGAATAACATGTGATCTGATCTTTATTGAATAAAAATGTTTCTATTTTGTAAATACACGGTATACCTATCGTAAAGCGGGTACCGGGCTAGAGGCCAAGCTATAACTGTTTCGATAAAAATAAGAAAAAACATCTATGGCTCTTAGTTAGGTGACAATAGGCATATTTTTGAAAATGTGAAGGATGCTGTAGAGCAACCGAAAAGTTGGGAATTAAAAAGTCAAAATTAAACACGACAGAACTCGTAAAATTAATTTCATTTAATGTGATGAAGATAGGGCTATATGGACCGCTAGAGGGAGTGACGACCTGGTGAGACGTGCAGGAAGTCGAAGGATGCAGGTGGCTCAGGTTCGTGCTTTGTGGCATTCCTTAGGGAGGCCTATGTTCAGCAGTGGACTTGTAAAGGGGTGATGATGATACTGTTACGAGCTTGAGGTTCGTGACAATAAAAATCGCCGATAAAATTACCTAAATTAACACTTTAATTTCCTTTACACAAATTAAAGTTAAAAACACCAATAATTAAGTACACTGGTTCACTTTATTTCGCTCCGAAGCTTCGCTTGTCTCGCCAAATCCAATACTTCCTCGATCGCACCTTGCAACGCCTATAAATACACATTAGTACCGAATCATCCAGAACATTCAAGTAAATACGCACTCCGATCGACAAAGCGCCGAAAGTTCGAGAGTCAGCTTCCAGAAGCTTAGTTCTTCTGTTCGATACTAGATGGCGCTAGTGCCGTCGACTTCGGCGCGTAACAATGCAATGCGTAGTGGTCGCGTAAATATAAGAAATCATTTCCCTCTGTCGGCTTTTATGACACCCGCTGGATGGTATGTGCTAGCGGATATTCCTACGCAATTATTGTGGATTAAAATTTTCTAAAAATGTTTCTTTGTGTACTCTTCAGGTGCGAACAGTTCTGGAGAACCCCACCAGGTATCACGTGATCCAGAAGCAGAAGAGTCAAGTGCGTCAGTACCTCAGCGAATCATTTCAGCCTCAAGCACAGGTGAGCGATCTTATTGTAGCTGTTTTTATATTTGTACAACAGATTAAATTGTAAATTAATGTTCACAAAAAAAAGAATTCACGCTCAGTTTTTCGCTGGTTTTCCCAACACTAAGGCTTTTCCGAACCAGTGGTAAAAGCATAAATGACTTTCAATAAGTATTCTTCTAATTTATGTTGAATGAAAATTATTATATTCTATTAACTTCCTTTTATTATTAGCTGATCCTGCTCGTTATTTTTTTTAAATAGAATAAGGGTGACAAACGAGCACACAGTCTACCTGATGGTAAGTGGATGCTGTGTCCCATAGACATCTACATTTATTCCTGATTAAGAATCAAAATGCACGTTTTCACTCCTGACGACTAAAATGGAAAGTCTCGTTTCCAATAAAAAAGGATCTCCATTCCTCTATACTCATCATACTAAACACAGCAGTATTAAGCTGCTAATCTACGCTGGTATTCTGTGAGAGCGTGGTCCTTCCCCGGTCGAGCCGACACAATTCGTGCTACAATTATATCTGTAATATAGCTGCAGCATGACTCTACCATGTAAAATTCTACTCTGAATAACCTGAAAAGTTCAGACATATTAAGAACCTACGAAGTAATAATTTTATAACTGTGACCTAGCATTCTCACAACGAACATCACAGCTCCTCTGCTGCCAAAAAGCTTGAGTTGTATTGCCTTTACTATTACAGTCAATACAGCTCACAGTCCGCAAGAAACAGTTTAGGTTTCGGTTTGAGGGTATAGAGTCAGTATAATAACTGGCTAAGAGAAGGCCATTTTATCTTAGTCCTCAGACGTGACAACGCATCTGCATATTAATTCTTAGTCACGAATACGTAGTTAAAGATATCTACGGGCTACAACATCCACTTACCAACGGGTGAACTGTGTGCTCGTTTCAGTCCAATGTGTGCCTCATGTCAATTAAAAAATATTTAATTTAACTTTAAACGCACACACGACAACGCATCTCTAACCTTCTTTGTTTCAAGATGGCTGCAGAATGGACTGAAACAGTCACTTGCAATCAGGTGGTCTATAGGTTCGTTTGGCATTTCAGTTTTAAAAAAAAGGAATTACTCTTTTTAGAGGTGCGGGACCAAACAGAACCACCCACCCGAGAAAGTGTGTGAACCCCCCCAAGAAAAACCACCCCCCTGAAAAGCACCAAAAACCTACTTAGGCTAGAATTTCGCCGCCTTTTAATTAAACTTCTTTTAAATAAATCTTGTTTTAACGGATTTATAATAAGTTAAAATTAGTTATTTTAAATTTCTGACGCTTCCAGTGCTTTGTAGCACGGGGAGACTGAGGTTTTTTTTGTACTCGTATAATATTAGAGTAACAAATGTACTTATAGTCCACGTAGGTTAGTAACTATACGTGGTACAGCCACGCTGCAACTATATTATGGTAGCAGCACGAAAGGTTGGCTCGACCGGGGAAGGACCACGCACTCACAAAATACCAACGTATAATAGCAGCTTGATGCTGCTGTGTTTCGTATGGTGAGTGTAGAGAACCGGAGACCAGTTTTACTGGAATCGAGGCATTCCATCTTAGTTCTCAGGGGTGACAACGCATCTGCATTTTGAATCTTAATTTAGGTTAAATGTAGATATCTATAGGCCACAGCATGCACTTACCACATCTGGTATATTATGTGCTCGTTTTTCACCCTAAAACTATAAAAAACTGCAGAAGAGACCCAGTTATGATATGAGTTAGTCTTAATACGTCCTACTACACGACTGGGCCTCAATAGGAAAGTAAAGTTTATATACTATGTAAGCTTTACTTTCCTATTGTGTTTTTGCACAAATGAATAGATAACCCTCATGTTATTTAAAAAACATAACATAAACACACTCACGTCTGTCACCCAGAGGGGTAGGCAGAGACTACAGACTTCCATTTAGCACGATCCTGATATCCTGATATATCCTGATCATACCTTTCTCGCCTCTTCCACATCCATATACCTACGCATACATGCTCGTCGGTTAAGGGTACTCTTAATTTGGCCCATTTTTAGTATATCGCCAATTTGGTCGACAAACTTCCGCCTAGGACGTCCCTTTCCGACTCTTCCATTTACTTCTGCAACATATATTTGCTTTGTCAGTCTTTCCGCATTCATTCTTTCTACATGACCAAACCACCGAAACATTCCTTTCTTAATCCTGGTCACCGCATCATCTTGCAAACCACACTCTTCTTTTATCACACAGTTTCTCACCCTGTCACTCAGATTCAGCCCTAACATACTCCTTAGCGACCGCATTTCTACTGCATGTATTCTACTCTCGTGCTTCTTCTGCCACACCCAACTTTCACTACCATACGTTAAAAAAGGGACTAATACAGCACTGTGAATTGCCATACGTGCCTTTTTTGACACATTCTGACTTTTCACAATAGAGTGTAGAGCCCCATTTACTTTATTTCCTGCATTCACTCGTCGTTCAATGTCCTTATCATATCTCCCATCCCTGCTGAATACACATCCCAAATACACAAACTCATCCACTTGCTCAATTAACTCTCCTTCTGTTCTTATTTCACATACCGTTTTGCTTTCATCTCTTTCAAAAACCATCACTTTCGTCTTCACTTTCATTCCCCTTTCTTTTAATGACCTGTTCATTAATGTAACCATCATTTGCAACTCGGCCGCCGGTTGGTATGGTAAACTCACCCATTCTTATCCCGCATTCTTCAACTTTCAAATTTTCCAAACAGCTGTCCATAAATAGGTTGTTATTTAAATATTTTTTTATTTGGTATGAGGCAGACATTGGATTGAAACGAGCACACAGTTCACTCGATGGTAAGTTGATCCTGTGGCCCATAGACATTTATATATATATTCTTGATTAAGAATCAATATGTGGATGCGTTGTCACCTCTGAATACTTAGATGAAATGCTTCATTACCAGAAAAAGGTTTTCGGTTCTTAACATTTAAAATAAAAAACAAAGCAGTATAATGCTGCTATTTCCGCCCGTATTCTGTGCAAGCCTGGTCCTTCCCTGATTTAGTCACCCTGACTTCACATGGTCTTCAAACAAACTGTCGATACATAACGTATAGCGTACAACGCAGGTTGCAGCGAGCACTAGACCGGGGCCGGTGCAGTCGGCGCCGGAGCTGTGCGCCTCGCCGGAACGAACCTCTACTTCCGGTCTGCTCAGCCCTGGATTATGTTCCTCCACAGCGCACACATCCGAAGTGAGTATACACGACTTTTTATGATTTATGAATTAAATTTAGTCCGTTCGTAGAACATAGACCGGGAAGTCTAGTGTGTTGAACTAACAGCTTTATTAAGTTTATCTGGATATGATATAAGCATTTGAGAGAGCTTCTGACGTTGGATTAGGCGTGACATAGAGTGGCGACCGCGTTGAATAAACGTAGTGTGGGACGCCCCATGGCTAGATGGGTTGACGATCTGCGCAAGGCGGTTAGCAGCAAAGGGATGCGTGAAGCCGAAGATCGGGCTAAGTGACGCTCCTTTGGAGGGGTCTATGTCCAGCAGTGGACTGCAACAGGCTGATGATCATGATGATGATGGTACAGTTGTAGGGAGGATTATCCTTAATAGTAAAGCTGGATTATACGGATTGAAAATCTCGGTGTCAAGTGTGTCGCACCTTTGCCTATACTGCCTGTCGCTGGTCTTATATATATAAACACTCACGCCTGTCACCCAGAGGGGTAGGCAGAGACTACGGACTTCCATTTGGCACGATCCTGACATACCTCTTTCGCCTCCTTTACATCCATATATCTACGCATACACGCTCGTCGGTTAAGGGTACTTCTAATGTGGCCCATTTTCAAAATATCGCCAATTTGGTCGATAAACTTTTTTCTAGGACGTCCCTTCCCGACTCTGCCATTCACATCTGCCATATAAATTTGCTTTGTCACTCTTTCCTCAATCATTCTTTCTACATGACCAAACCACCGAAGCATTCCTTTCTTAATCCTGGTCACCACATCATCTTGCATACCACATTTATCTCTTATCACGCAATTTCTCACCCTGTCATTCAGATTCAACCCTAGCATACTCCTTAAAGTCCGCATTTCTACAGCATTTATTCTACTTTCGTGCTTCTTTTGCCACACCCAGCTTTCAATACCATACATTAAAGTAGGGACTAACACAGCATTATGAATTACCATACGTGCCTTTTTTGACATATTCTGGTTCTTCATAATAGAGTGTAGTGCCCCATTCACTCTATTCCCTGCATTTACTCGTCGTCGTAATCGCTGGTCTTAGTGGTAATGATAACGACTACCTCATTGGTCGAGTGGTTGTAGTACTGCGACTGCTGATCATGAGGTCCTAGTTTCGAATCCCGGGTCGGGCCAAAAAATCAATTATTTCGTTTTTCCGTCAAGAAATTCTCAGTAGCTGCCCGGAGTCAGAAAGTTGGCGGTGTCTCACCCCTGTGCCTCGGAACGCACGTAAAGCCGTTAGTCCTGCGCTAATCACTTTCCGGTCGTGTCGGTTTACCATCCCATCGAATTATGAGAGTGAGGGAATAGAGAGTGCACCTGTGCTTGCGCGCATACACTTGGGCACTATAATCCTGTTCTGCGCCGATGGCTAGCCTCTGTTGAGGCTGGCCGCCTGACCGAAATTCGGTCTGGAGGACATTATTATTAGTATGGATAAACGAGATGCTTATAGCGCCTTCTGTTGCAATCGCTATCAACCAAATGACTGTGAATGTTTTACTATTCTACAGTGCCGTAATCCAACTTTGTATTTTGTATAGGATCTGGATATAAGTTTAATAATCGTTTAAGTGAAATCTAATGAATCCACAATGGACATCAACAACATTTTTGGCTTTGGCACCTCTGTTATGAAATTATACTTCTTTTTATTTTATTTTAATTTCTGACAACAATATATATTAAAGAGAGCAACTGTCTATACTTACATCTTAATCAATGTCACTACACTACTAAATCTTAGGTCACGCGAACAACCCGGGTTCGATCCCCAATGGCACCAATGGAATTGCAATTTTATTTAAAACTAATTTACTACTAATTTACTACGTGCTCGGCGGTGAAGGAAAATATCGTGAGGAAACCTGCATGTATAATAAATTAAAAGAAATATATTTCGAAGTGAAGTCCGTCAACGCGCATTGGGTCAGTGTAGCGGACACCTCCTTGCCTTAAAACCCTCTCAGAACTGGGAGGTGGTCTGTGCCCAGCCGTGGGAGGTTTAATAGGCTAGAACTTTACTTTGAAGCATTGGCGAACGTCACCATTATGTAGTGAATAATTGATTATTTTCCTAATTGACTATTATGTATCATTTATTCGCATTCTGTAAGTTAATTGCCGTATTGTGGCGATGTTATTTAATCAATTAGGTACCACATATCATTATGTGGTTGCCTTATTGAGACTGAAGAAAACTGAAACATGAGATAGGCAGTAGCATATTATTCACAAAACGGCTGAAAATATTTAAAAAAAATCCGGTTGTCAACCGGCCTGCCAAGCTGAGTGCCAGAGTAAGCGTCCACAAAACATACCATAAGATAAATCTCACGCCTGTTACCTAGATGGGTAGGCAGATACTTTGGACTTCCATTACCTACGTATACTTGAATTATACGTGACTGCCTCGTTGGTCTAGTAGTTGTATATATACTGTACTGATCATAAGGTCTTGGGTTATAGTCCCGGGTTGGGTCGGAATCAGTTATGGGGTTTTTATGTCAAGAAATACTCAGTAGCATCCCGGAGTCGGGAAGTTGACGATGCTTCGAAAAGCACGTGAAGCCGTAGGTCTTGCAATTGATCGAATTACCATCACATCGGACTGCGAGAGTAAGGAAATTGTCCTGCGCCGATGGCTTGTCTCTGTTGAGACTGGCCACCGTGCTGAAATTTGGTCTGGAGGACGTTATTATTTACCTTCGTATACATTCGCCGGTTAATGGTACTTTTGATTACGTCCTCTGTCGTCTCCGCCATTCTCTTATGGGGCATAAATTTACCTCGTCACTTTTTCCTCATTAGTTCTTTCTACGTGCCCAAATCACGGAAGCATTTGTTTGTTTTGTTAGCGAGCCACCCATTAATTACAGCCTATAAAAGTCCACTGATGAACAGAGGCCTTCTCCATAGATTACCCCATAGGAAGGATATTTCCCCACAAGACACCCACGGAACGATACGAGAGTGACACTAAAAGTTCTTAAAAAATCAAAAACTGAACAAACTAGCAAGTTATTAGTTTTATTATATTTTTTCAAAATAGTGTCCATTTACATCAATCGCTGCATCCGATGGAACAACTGAGAAAAGCTTTGCTCACTCCTCCTTAGAGGTCTCTTCGACGGCATTTTGAAACGCAGCCACTGCTTCCTCGGCGTAGATAAAACGTTTTCCTCGAAGTTTGTCTTTTATTTTCGGAAATAAACAAAAATCGCAAGATGCGAGGTCGGGGCTATACGGTGGGTGACCCAGTAATTCCACGTCTGACGTCACCATGTAGTCGATTGTTTGCTAGGCGGTGTGCGACGAGGCGTTGTCGTGGTAAAGGAAGATCCTACTGCGAAGTCGTTTCTCCTGAACTTTTTCCAAGACAAGTGGCAAACAATTGTTAGTGTACCACTCTGCACTAACTGTTTTTCGATTCTTTAAAACAATTTTTGCGTAATAACTTGTCCTTCCGAAGAACGAGGTCACCATCTTTTTCCCACTTTTCGACCTCTCTCCACTATAGTTGGCAACTCCTCAGAAGAAAACGCTCAAACAGTAGACTCTCTTAATTTCAGGCTCATAACAATAAACCTAGCTTTCGTTACCCGTAAATATGTCGAACACAGCATTTGAGTTACCTTCGTAAAATTTTTGAATCATTTCACGACACCAATCAACACTACATTTGGCCTCTGTTAAATTATAAAGTGTATCCACCGGACACAAATCTTACCGACCGCTAAATGTTCATGGAGGATTTTGTGCACTTGACTCACACCAGTGCCTAAGCTTATCCGAATCTGCTCATAAGTCACTCTTTTGTCAGTCTCTATCATACGCCGCACAACACTAATGTTATCTTCAGTCGTCGCCATAGAAGGCCGTCCTTCACGCTGATCATCGGTGAGATTAGTGCGACCACGTTTAAACTCATTAAACCAGTTGTAAACAGAGGCACGAGATGAGGCTTCATCGTGAAAAGCCAATCGAAGTCTATCATAACTTTCTTGTTGACTTAAATGACACCAAAGTCAAAAAAATCATTGTACGAAAAATTTCTCGCGTTAAATTCATGGTTACGTGACACAGACAATTCGCCGCCAAATCTACAATAATATTATCTACAAATACATACACAATAATATTGGCAAAGAGCTGCATTTTCAAAATTTGAACTTATTCTTTTATTATATCGTTTACAAGTGGCCAGTTCTAAAAACTTTCAGTGTCGCCCTCATATGTGGTAGTGGATATTTTTCACGGTTCCTAGTGAGGAACTATGGAAATACTAAGGGTATTGCTATTATTACTTACTAGCAACCGTTTACATTTTTTCTTCACTTATTGTGCTCTAAATCGGTCCCTTCTATACCAAAACTGCCTTTTGCGGCGAAATCTATAAATAAAAACGTCTATTTTAGACATAAACATTTTTGTTAATAGTAGCAAACCGAGGTATAATGGTTAAATCGTAATTTCACGATTTTAGTTTTGTTCTTAAATCCCTACTACAGATGCCGCAAATAGTTGGTATAGTGAATAGTGGAATACCGATTGGTATCCTTTCCCTATGGCGAATAGTCAAACCAATCGCCCTAAAAAAAGGAAAATTAAAAATAAAAATGTAAAATATGTTATCAAATAATAATATCACGCTTGAACTTACCAATCAACTTACTTACAACATAAGTGTAATCTAAAATTTTTCTAAGGCTATGAGAAAAAAAAAACAATGAAGTTAAAGAAATCGGTGTCATATTATACTTTTAAATGCTGGCAACCCTTTTCTTGCACCTATTTAATTAAAGCTTGATTATTTTGAAGTATATAGTTTTCTGTCTATTATTTTCTTACTCTACCTCTTCACTATCCGTCGAATTTCGAATAATACTAGTTATTTTTCGGTATTCGAGCAATAAAAAAGTCGAGTAATGCCGAATACCGAATACTAGCGAGTGCTCGTGGAATCTCTAATCCCTACATACTATTCTTGGCAATTTTCAGCCGATTTCTAGTTTTTATAACATATTATTAAGTTTCTTAAAACGTAATTGTAAAAAAAATCTTGTCATCGAAGCATTATGTATACTTCACACTTATTTTGCTCTAATTTAGTCCATTCCACCATATGAGGCAATCTAAGGTTGAGGTCTATGTTCAGCAGTGGACTTATATAGGCTGTAATGGATGGAATTGTAATGGTATGATTTTGGGGTTGGCAGCCGGACGAGTTCCTGGAGGACATCCTGTCGTTCGACAGCGGCGCGGCGCACTCGTCGTCCGGGCCGCCGTCCGCCGCCAGCTCGCTGGCCGGCGACTGCGCGCTCACCGACGCAGACATGCACGCGCTCGCCAAGGACCGCCAGAAGAAGGACAACCACAACATGAGTGAGTCACACGCACTACAAATACAATTGTACAGCTCGCTGGCCGACGACTGCGCGCTCAACGACGCAGACATGTACGCGAGAACTAAGATGGAGGAATACCTCGTATGCAGTAAAATAGGTCTTCGGATCTCTACACTCACAATATAAAACAGCAGTATTGAGCCGCTATTTTACGCTGGTATTATGTGAGAGCGTGGTCCTGTCCCGCTACAGCGTCGATTCACCATGAATATTTATTTATAAAATTAAATCACAGCAAACTTTTTTTTTCATAATGATCCAAATTCAAATTCAAATTGTTTATTGCATGTCACATTACAAATGTAAGATGGTACAATTTTAATAGGTATACATGTGACGCCCTGTAAGGGCATAGCAACACTAGAGGGTTAACTATTTTCGTATTATCTAATTTTTAAACATAAATTATTAAATATCATATCATCAACATTCAATATTATTTTATATAAATTAATTTAATTTTAAATACGATGTACCTAGTCGAAGTATTCTTACTTTGTCGTTATTTATTGTCAAGTCCAAATTATTCTTCTCGACAGTCGAAAGGCGTCGTCGATTCAACATAAACGACCGGATCAAGGAGCTCGGAACACTACTACCGAAGACGAACGATCCGTTCTACGAGGTGATCCGGGATGTGAGGCCCAACAAGGGCACTATACTGAAGAGTAGTGTTGACTACATCAAGTGCCTGCGGGATGAAGTCAATCGTCTCAAGCAAAGTGAACAAAGGCGGAAGCAGATGGAAATTCACAACAGGAAGCTCATGCTCAGGATACAGGTCACTATGATTTTTTTTATATTTTTAAAGATAGAAATATCGGTACGTCTTTATGTGGTCATGATATTTGCTCGGTAGAGCCTTCCTCTTACTTCTGCCGCCTAGCAACAATGCTTATACTGCTGTGTTCTGCTCTGAAGGGTGAAAACAGCCAGTATAATTATACGATGTGAGGCATTCAATCTTAGTTCTCAGAAGTGACTCTCATATGTAGCTTTCTTAGTTTTAAATTGGTTGTAATAGTCTATGAACTGCAGTTGCTACTTACTATCAGGTGGACTGTGAGTCCGTTGGTCAATTCAGTTTTAAATAAGAAAGAACGGTTTTTGTTACAGTAGGTCTATAAGTGGTAAAATTAAAAACTTTGTACGATCAACTTCAATATAAATGAAATGAGAATATAATCAGTGTAGTATAAGTCAATTAAAAAGGAAAGGATAACTCAAAAACTACTGGTGAGATCTTGATCAAATTTATATGGGACCGCATGAGAAGTACCAGCTTTCAAATAAAAGAGAAAAAAGAATCATCAAAATCAGTTCACCTAGAAAAATGTTTTGAATTGATACATTTAAGACATAGAGTAGAATTGAAGCAACTTCAAAAAAATAGCAGGAGGTTTCTGTTTTCTTTTGGAAGTTTGTTGAAAATAGAAACTAAAGATGAGTAGCACAGCCTGGTATTATATTGGTTTGAATTGGGATACCGTGATCCTCTATTATTTAGAGACAAAAATATGAGAGGGGGAAGCATGAATAGCGAAGTGAGTCGTGAGTACGAAGGGTTATTATTTGCGTTTTAACTTTATGTACATTTTCTAGTCATTATATTGTAGGTGAATGTCACGTTAATATGTAATGAATGACGACGATCAATAATTGGATTTATAATGTGAAAGTATGTTCATTGTATTTTGTACCTTTATACTTCGTCAAAGGGATCATTAAATTAACTATTGTGTATGTCAAGTGCTCACGACTCGTGTCGCTAGTTATGGCTTATTGTAAACTAAACAATTATATGTACATTATAGTAACATTATGGTTGTAGCACAAATGGGTTGGTTCGGTTGAGGTAGGACTACGCTCTCATTGAAAAGCAGCGTAAATAGTAGTTCAATGCTGTTGTGTTTCGAATGGTGAGTGTAGAGAATTGGAGACTTTTTTATTGGAAACGAGGCATTCCATCGTAGTCGTCACAGGCGACCAGCGCATTTGCGTTTTGATTTTTAATTGAGGATAAATGCAGATGCCATTAAGATACGTGGCAGAGCATCAATTTATCATCGGGTGAAGTGTGTGGTGTTTGTGAAGGCTTGTTCCAAAAGCAAGTGAGTGAGGGGGGGTGACGCTGCAGGAGCTGGAGCGGCTGGCGCGCGTGCACGGGCTACCGCTGGACGCCGCGCCCCCCGCACCCCCCTGCCCACCGCCGACTGCACCCCCCCACCCGCGCCAGCGCCCGCACCCGACTGCACCGGCCTCACCGACCTCACCGACCTCACAAATCTCTCCTCGTCAAACCTCACCTCAGCACCGGTAACTATTCTAATCACATTAATTTTACTTTTTTTTACTATCTCTATATATACTGTTGCGCGCCATAATTATTGCCACTAGCGCCATCTAGTAGTGAGTAACAGAACTAGAAAGCTTTCTAGAAAATTCCATACTAGAACTTTCTAAACCTAGTCGGTCGGGACCGGTATGTGCTCGAACATTCTAGATGTTTCAGTGGAAGAGGCCCTATATAAGGCCAGTAAGAACCGCGACCTAACTGCGAACTAAAGTGATCAGTGTGATTAATTATTAGTGTCTCTTAAGTTGTAATTAGTGTTCGGTAATTAAAGTGTTAATTTTGATAATTTAATCGAAAATTTTTACTGTCAAGAACTCCAAGCTAGTAACAATTGCTGTCAGAAGTGAGGTTAACATTATGCCGATTTTACCTAAGGTCGACTCGGAGCGTATCCGTACCCGAAGTCAACGCCAGCAGGAGATGGACCAAAGACGATTTGGTAGTGTAACGCCGCCGACGTCGGAGGGCCAGCTTGCCGGCCACGAAGGCCGGCCCTTTAGTAGCTTCTACATGTGCAGCACCTGACTTAGGTGTTCTGATGAAGATAATGCAGGAACAAGGCCGTTGATTGGAAGAGCAGCTGCAGCGCGAACTGGAGGAAAAGGCCCGTCGGTTAAAAGAGCAGGAAGCGGAGCAAGCCCGTCAACAGGAGGAACGGCCCGTCGTTTGGAAGAGCAAACTCAAACTCGATTAGGAAGAGCAAATACACTTTATGAAGGACCTTCGCGATACATTCAGGAAAAAGATAATGGAAGTGAAGGATAGGATTGCTCAATATAAGAACCGCCTGTCGGAAGCTGAAACCCGAATCGACCAAGTGAACAATCGGGTTGACAACATGATGACTAACGTGTAGAAAACGCTGGATATCCTCAAACTTGGGGACGGAATTACAGCTCCCTGAAGGAACAACACCTTCGCTACGTGGATTCAAAGTGCCGTCGTTGGACGGTACTTCTTCCTGGTCGACAGAAGACTTCTGTCATTTTAGAGTACCTTTAGAGATTCACAGCGATCAAGGAAGGAATTTTGAGTCTCAAATATTCCAGCAAACTTACCGAGTTATGGGTGCTCATAAAACAAGAACGACTTCTTATCATCCGCAATCTGATGGAATGGTAGAACGATTTAATCAAACGTCGGAGAGGTACCTACAAAAGTTGTGGAAAATCGGCAACGAGCTTGGGACAAGCATAATATACAACCGTTTTTGTTATCATATCGAAGCCTTGTTCACGAAAGTACATCAGTGACACCAGCTTTCGCAAACTTTGGAAAAGAATTAGGGCTGCCTGAGACCTGATCACTGGAATACCACGTGATGTTCCACGTAGTATAACCGATTATGCAAATGACTTGCGGAACAAAATGAATGACATTTATGAGCACGTCAGACACTCGGGCCAGCAAATGTCTGAAAAGATGAAAACCCGGTATGACCGCGAAATGAACAACAAAGGATTCGACGAAGGTTCACTAGTGTGGTTGCACAATCTAGTCCGCAGCAAAATGAAGTCTCCTAAGCTTCAAGCCAAATGGGATGGACCGTACCGAATTGTGACAAGGATTAATGACGTAACCTACCGGATATAGAAAGGTGCAAGAGGTACTCTTAAGATCGTCCATGTGGATTGACTGGCGCGTTATTATGGGGCAGATAATGCTCGGGACGAGCATGTCATAGGAGTAAGCAGTGTTGCGAGCCATAATTAATGCCACTAGCGCCATCTAGTATCGAGTAGCAGAACTAGGAAAGCATTCTGTAAAGTTCCATACTAGAACTTTCTACACCCAGTTGGTTGGGAGCGGTAGGTGCTCGAACATTCTAGATGTTTCAGTGGAAGAGGCCCTATATAAGGCCAGTAAGAATCGCGACCGCGTGAGTGTTGAATCAGCAATACGAGCGAATACTTCGAAGCGATATAACTGCGAACTAAAGTGATCGGTGTGATTAATTATTAGTGTGTTTTAAGTTGTAATTGGTGTTCGCTAACTAAATTGTCGACTTTGGTAATTCAATCGGTAGTTTTTGTTGTCACGAACCCCAAGTTCGTAACAATAGTATAAAACAAAGTCCCTTCACGCCGTATTAGATATTTTAAACTACGCAACGAATTTTGATACGGTTTTCATCATTGGAAAAATGATTCAAGAGGAAGGTTCATATGTATAATACATGTTTATGTTGTCGAGATATAAACAGCAGCCATACACGCGTATCATTTTTTTAAGCAAAGTTTCTTTCAGCGAATTTATATTAACATTTTTTGAAATTTACGTATGAACTAAGTGGTAGGCTGGTAGGACCCCATTTGTGTCTTAGAGGACATCTGGGAGATATTACCCTCTTATCTATTACCGGAATGAATGAAGGCTGTAAGGTATTCCATCTCAGTCCGTAGAGGTGACAACGACCTTCTTTGTTTGTAGTTAGCTGTAAGTTTTCAATGGCTGCATTGGTCTCTTACCATCGCCAGGTGAACTGTAAGTTCGTTGGATACTTCAGTTTTATATTAAAAAAAAAACTTTGACGTATACAACACGTAACATAATTAATGCACTTTGAGAAAGTAGTTTGTTCAGAATCGTTTACTGAATCGATTCCTATCATTTTTAATATAGGTAATTTTTTATCCCAAAAATAATTAAAACTACGTAAATTACAGTCACACTAAATCTGTACAGTCAAAACAAAGTGAAATGGACCGTAACTTAAGGCAATAAGACTTTTAAGAGTGCAGTTTTATTTGTATTATTACTAATTCTGTCATTCAATAAAAATAAAGAAAAATTAACTTTATTTCAAGCACATTAAAGTTTTTGCGTTCGTGGATTTGTACTGTGACCACAACATTCTTCCAGAATTAGTATAAATAATTTGATAAATAATCAGTGCATAAAAATGTTTAACTAAAAATTCAGTGTATGTATTATGGTTATAACATAATATACTAATTGGGGTGTCTGAGGGTGTGCGTTAATTACGTTACATATTGTATATACAATATGTAACAAAAACCCTGTGGTTCCCGTTAAGTGTGTTATCAGAATCAGTAGCCAAGCATATAGAAATAATTATTTTTTCTTATCTGTTACTCACACGAGTATTGGTACTGCGGGGTCTTTGACAATCCTCTTACTCCTAGGCCAATGCAGAGATAATAAAACTACATACAATTTGCAAATTATTTTTTTTTTCATCAAAATTAATTTATTTAATGTGGTTTCTGAAAAAAAAAATATTTCTATATGCTTGGATAACTAATTCTGATAATGCAGTTAACGGGAAGCACAGGGTTTTTGTTACACGTTGTATATGTGACGTGACTATATAAATATTGTTAACATGTATTTTCAGAATGTCGAGAATATTCTCCTAATTACACCTACCCTGACACGATATTTCAATATTTATTTAATTACTATAACTGATCAGCGAGGAAACGCGAAGCGTTCTTGGCACTATACCACGGGTAGTTGGACTGTATAATTATTTTTTTTAGTTTTAGTTGTTCTTACATATATAGATTTTCGATATTTTACGTATTTCAATATTTAATTATATATCCGCAATAAGCCGCCATGTTACTATTTATGAGACTTCATGCAACTTAAAACCCGCTAAAGGCCACAATGCATTTAAAGATTTAATTTCTAATAATTTAATTTTATATCTAATTTGTCAATATAAGATAAGTAGTTTAGAAGATCTCAGGGAACAGATAAACATACTTACATATTCTTTTAAAGTTGTAACCATCTTTTTGATTCATCGTAGTTGGATAAAAATTTTCATTAACATAATCTACGTCATATCAGAAGAAACGAATACGCTCCATCGATATCTTGAGGCAGGCAGTGCACGGTGCAGCACTATTTGTCACCCACACATGCACATTACACGTACACTGGTGTATTTTTATTTTGGTCTCACCCTAATCACTTCATCGTCAACTATACTATACTATATCTATGGTTTTGTAGTTTTGCCTATCTGAAAATTGCTCACGTATTTTTTAAATTCTTCTAAAAATGTATATTCTATTACTTTATAGAAATTGTCTAACTGGAAAGAAATAGAACTGATTTTTGTTTCGATGTAAAAAATCAAAAGACATTTTTAGTCTACCGTTTAAAATGTGGTTCTTCTGACGAATAACCTCATTCATACTGAATTTTGGACATGGCAGCCCGTCTCAATAAAAGTAACCATCTACGAAGGACAGTAATATAGTGCACGGGTGTGTGCGTATGCACAGGTCGACACTTCGACACAACCGGAGAGAGCCTAGGCGTAGGACCTACTGCTTCATGTGCTTTCCGAGGCATGGAAACGAAACAACGCGAACTTCCTAACTAAATGCCGACTGATCATATAAAATGTGTCGCGTTTTCGACCATATAAACAACACATTACATGGTAGAGATATGCTGCAGCTATATTATCTTTGTAGCACGAATGGGTCGGCTCTACCGGGGAAGAACCACGCTCTAACAGAATATCAGCATAAAATATATACCTGCTGTGTTTCGTGTGGTGAGTGTAGAGAACCGGAGACCCTTTTTAATGGAAACGAGGCATTCATCTAAGTCCTCAGGGGTGCCAACGCATCTGCTTTTCGATTCTTAATCGAGGATAAATGTAGATGTCTATGGACCACAGCATCCACTTAGCATTATCGTGGATTTATTTTTTACTCTTATTCTACAAAAAATATTTCTTTATCTTATTTCTTATGCTCTTTTCCAATCTAAAACGAACTATTTTCTCGGAAATAAGTATCTTTACCAATACGTTCATCATAAGAAAATTTTACTTTAAGCAATGTCATTTTTGTAATCGTGTGGTTATTTTCCAGGAGATGGTGTTACCGAAGAGTGAACCAGCGCCTGCAATGGAAGTGAGCGAAGCGCCCGACTTGCTTCGAGATATGCCAACCCTCGACGCACTTGGTAAGTTGATTTAATTACTAGAAACACATTCTTTACACTTTATTGTATTCCTCTGCAACCATAAAAAGGATTGTCAAGAGCTTACTTACTTACTTACTTAACTCTAGCTATTCTATTCTAGTCGAATCTGGATGTAATAAGAGTTAATGTGATAGGTGCCCAAATAAAAACAACTTTAAGATTATTGTAATACTCGTATTATGTTGTAACATGTTAATTAAAAATGTGTTTTTTAAGAAATATAGTGAGACACTATTTCTTTTTTCGAAGATGAAAAGAAAAAATAAACATTGTTTGAGAATGAGATGAAACGTTTGACACATTTCAAGCAGGAAAAGTAAAATTATTAAGGAAATATAAAGATATGTTACTTTCTGAAATTTTAGTTCTGATATTTTATATTAATTGAATTAAAACTGGATATCTACACATGTTCCTAATAGTTAAGAATTAAATCGAAAGTTAAAAAATTTTGCCAAAAAAATTATGAGCAATTACTGAAGCATTCTTTTGTATACCACGCGAATTGAAAATTCACATTTCAAATAAAACTTTCTGTGTCTTGTATATTTTTGTAGAATAATAAAGACAAGCGAGCACACAACCGTCTCGATGGTATGTGAATGCTGTGGCCTAAAGACATTTACATTTATCCTCGAATAAGAATCAAAATGCAGATGCGTTGTCAGCCGTGAGGACTAATATGTAATGCCAGTAAAAAGGGTCTCCGGTTCTCTACACTCACCATACGAAACATATCAGTATTGGGCTGCTATTTTACGCTGGTATTCTGTAAGAGCGCGGTCCTGTCCCGGTCGAGCAGACCCCTTCGTGCTACAACCATAAAATAGCTGGAGCGTGGCTATACTGTGTAAAAATATATAATACTAGCTTGCCAGGCAGACGTTGTTCTGCCCTATTCGACGACCTTTCGTCATGTCCTACTAAAAATCCTGAAATTCGCAAAAATTGTGGCTCACTCATGGCCAAAAAGCTATCCTATCTCTCAAGTTGGACCAAACTGCACACGGTTTGCAAATTTGATCAAAATCATAAGTAGTTTAGGAGTCCATCGCGGACAAACAACGTGACACGTAATTTATATATATATATATATATATATATATATATATATATATATATATATATATATATTAGTGTATATTTTAGTTAAGTAAAAAATGAGAGTACTTTTTACGAATATATGTGTTATTTTTTGCAGACGGTCTCAAACTCGGGTCGTGTTCACCGCTAGGGCGCGAAGGGCTCCCTGAAGGTCTGCCCGAGGGCCTACCGGAGGGCCTGGGCGAAAGCCTGCCTGAAGGCCTGGGCGAAGGCCTAGCGCTAGGCTGCCTAACGCCGGCGCTGTGCCTCGACTCCGCACCCGATATATTCGACCACAAGGACGTCAAGGTTCTCTTTTCTTCTTTTTCCGATCACTTTTCTCCTTTTTTCTTACTTATGGAATGTCACTCTTGTCCTGGGAAGAACAAGCAGGAACCCCAGCGAGACTTTTTTAACCGACTTCAAAAAGAAGGAGGTACTCATTTCGACTCTGTTTTATTTTACTTTAGAACTTTTTCTGGATTTAGCGATTTTGATGATTATTCAAATTTAACAAGATTGTTATTTAAAAGTTGTTGTTTTTCGTGTGATCCCATATGCATTGGATCAAGATCTGACCAGTAGTCTTTAAGTTATCCTTAATAATGCGTATTTAATTGACTTCGAATATATTGATGATGATCTCATTTTATATATTGAAGTCGGTTGTAAAACATTTTTAATTTTACAAATTGTTTAAAAATATCAGTTAACAATCATGTTTGTTACACAATTAATTAGAACAAAACAAATAAGAAGTAGTTTGATAGCGATTACCTCATTCCTAGGGGTTATTATCATCAATAAATACTTAATATTATAATAATCCTTACAAACTGAGTTTAATAAAGTTTATGAACTTTGTGCAGATCAAATTTTATATATTTTCAGGGATTTTGTCGCAAAAGCATATACATCGCCCTAAGAATCGATTACTGACTCGGTGGAGTCGAGTAACTGGTACTACTAGCTTGTGTCTGTTCCTAGTATTTACAGAATGAATATCACTTATTTTTGACTTTTATTTTTGTGTACGTAGATTATGCCTCCGAATATATTTACGTTTAAGTCAATTTCCTTAAATTTTTGTCTGTATGACTCTCTAAGTTTTAAATCATAAATAGCTCTTACGGCCCTCTTTGTTGATCCTGTAAAACTATATTCAAGTTAGGACTAAAAGTGCAAAACTAAAAATAGGTTCATATAAAGTATTAATCTTTTGGCCCAGCCTTGAATAATATAAAAAATTAAAATTAAAGTTACAGCCTATATACGTCCCACTGCTGGGCACAGGCCTCCCCTCATTTCTGAAAAGGGTTTTAGGGCAATCAAACGTCCGCCACGCTGCTCCACTGTGTGTTGGTTGATTAATATAGTTCTATATAAATTTAAAATGAATAAATAAATTATTTAGTATTCCAAATAGTACGCAACGTTTTAAATTACTTAAGGAGGAATATGAATTCGTTAGTAACAGGATTAAGATCGCCTGTGCCATGAAACCATCGGCTTAACAACCGATTGGGTTGATCAGCTTTTTAAACTATATATTTTATAGAATGAGCGTGACAAACGAGCACACAGTCCACCAGATGGTAAGTGGATGCTGTGGCACATAACCATCTATATTTATCAACTATATTTTTTATAGAATGAGCGTGACAAACGAGCACACAGTCCACCAGATGGAAAGTGGATGTTGTGGCACATAACCATCTATATTTATCAACTATATTTTTTATAGAATGAGCGTGACAAACGAGCACACAGTCCACCAGATGGAAAGTGGATGTTGTGGCACATAACCATCTATATTTATCAACTATATTTTTTATAGAATGAGCGTGACAAACGAGCACACAGTCCACCAGATGGAAAGTGGATGTTGTGGCACATAACCATCTATATTTATCAACTATATTTTTTATAGAATGAGCGTGACAAACGAGCACACAGTCCACCAGATGGAAAGTGGATGTTGTGGCACATAACCATCTATATTTATCAACTATATTTTTTATAGAATGAGCGTGACAAACGAGCACACAGTCCACCAGATGGAAAGTGGATGTTGTGGCACATAACCATCTATATTTATCGACTATATTTTTTATAGAATGAGCGTGACAAACGAGCACACAGTCCACCAGATGGTAAGTGGATGCTGTGGCACATAACCATCTATATTTATCTTCGATTAAGAATCAAAATGCAGATGCGTTGTCACCCATGAGGACTAAGATGGAATGTCTAGTTCCAATAAAATGGGTCTCCGGTTCTCCACTTACCATACGACACACAGCAACATTGGGCTGCCTTATTACGCTGGTATTATCGATATTGTTGACCCATTCGTGCTGCAACCATTACATAGCTGCAGCGTAGCTCTACCACGTATAATAATTATGAAAATGAATGTAAATTTAAATTTGCGTAATATTGACCCAACAGATGCGGTTATCGCCATCGCCGGGGCTGCTGGGCAGCGAGGACAGCGATGCCGTTCTAAACCTGGCGGAAATCGAGGACCTGATGGACGACGACTCACACAATCCTGTCACACAAGGTATTTCTAACAGTTTCGTAATGGCGTTAGCGTCAATATTGTTACCATGTCGGTCTTGGACTTCGGTCTCATGTTTACGAGTATGTAGAATAGAATAGAATATTTTTTATTCAATATAGATTACATGTAATTCTTATTGAAAGTAATTTTTTACTTTACCACTGGTTCGGAAAATACGTCTGTTCTGGGAAGAAAGAACCAGCAAGTAACCCAGTGGGACTTAAAAAAAAAATTACAAAATTTATTTTGAAAACAGCTTGGAGGCGACCATCTCATTGCCAGGGTGTATTATCAACCATGTATTAATTTATATCATAATAACTCTTTTATACAGTTTTTGTTTAGTTAAATACATATTTAAACTTGGTAATAGAGAGACCTTGTATATTTTCTGGGACTTTGTTGTAACAGCGTATACATTGCTCTAAGAATGAAGAGAAACTGGTATAGAACTTATAAAAGTAGTACAAATATAAACTTTTTTAAAGATTTTAAAAATTCTTGTAGAGTTCATCAAACTGAGTAAGACATATCATTTTAGTTTATTACGCGGATCTTAGCAACGCAATTTTTCAATTCCTTAATATAATGGATTTCCGCAGAGTAATGCATGATTTAAACTACTACTAATTAGAAACTTTTTTATTTAAAATAGATTATAAATAATACTTATTGAATATCACTCTTTTTAATTTACTCTGTCTTGGGAAGAACCAGCAGGAAACCTTATGACGTTTTTATTTAAAAAAAAGATTAGTTTTCACTGAGGGCCACCGGCGCGGCGGCACTTAAAAATGAGGTGTAATATAAAACAGATTTCATAGCGGGGAAGTTAATTTATTCGAAAAATGTAAATGTTGTTTATTTTTGTGCTATTAGTTATATTTTATATCTAATAGCACAAAAATATTATAAATATTATAATTATAATAATAATGTCCTCCGGACCGAACTTCGGTCACGGCGGTCAGGTCAGCTAGCCATCGGTGCAGGACAGGATTATAGTGCCCAAGTGTATGCGCAAGCACAGGTGCACTCTCTATTCCCTCACTATACTTATACGAACACACTCTCTTATATGAACTTTACCATGAAAGATCATATAAACTTTCCGAAAATTTTAGAGAATAAGTCAAAACATATTTTAAAATGTTTAAAAGAGTGTGCTCCACAGCCACTTTACATAGCAAAAAATAAACCGCATAACTATAAATACGAAACCCCTCACACAAAGTATCAATTGTAAATTAATAGTGAATTAACTAGATTAAATCAAGAAGTCGCAGCGGTGTTGTATATATATATCATATATGCATATATATATATAAGTTATATATATATATGCGATATATATATATATATATATATATACACCTGTTTGAAAGAATTTAGATTTGAAAAAGTATTACCATCAGATATTGTAAAATAATTCGAAACCCTTGATGTAAAGAAATCCGCGATTTATGGGGGGTTTCCGTTACAGTTATTGTGTCCATAATAGATTAAATTGCACCTCATCTTGCTATTATTCTTAATATTATTTATCTGGTGTGTTTCCTGATTTAATGAAATATAGTAAAGGAATACCTTTATTTAAATCTGGTAGTACATTTAACCCCGCGACCTATTTCTGTACTACCAACTCTCAGTAAAATTTTTGAAAAGATAATTTTAGATCAATTGTTAATTTTTTTAATGAAAAGAAATTACTCCATAAAATGAATTTGGTTTCACAAGGGGTCACTCGACGTATCGAGCTTATGAAATATATTTTGAATGCCTGGGAAAGGTCACTAGATGCCTTAGGTATTTTTTGTGATCTTTCCAAGGCTTCCGATTGTGTTTATCATGAGATATTAATCAGGAAACTACAACATTACGGTGTCAAAAATATTGCACTTAGACTTATTATTTCATATTTTAATAAAAGAACAAAAAATCGTTATCGTAATCGTATAAAGGTTCCTCCGGATCAGTAGTATCAATGGGTGTTCATCAGGGCTCGATTTTTGGCCCATTCCTGTCAACGATAGTGATTTACAGGTGATACCTGTTTAGTTTTCAAATTCAATCGAAAGTCAATTAATTTTGACAATGTAAATAATGATAAGGATATAGAACGACGTGTGAACGCACGAAATTGAGTAAATGAAGCCCTACACTCTATTGTGAAAAGTCAGAATGTGTCAAAAAAGGCACGTATGGCAATTCACAATGCTGTGTTGGTTCCTACTTTAACGTATGGTAGTGAAAGTTGGGTGTGGCAGAAGAAGCACGAGTGTAGAATAAACGCAGTAGAAATGCGGAGTATGTTAGGGCTGAATCTGAATGACAGGGTGAGAAGTTGTGTGATAAGAGAAGAGTGTGGTTTGCAAGACGATGTTGTGACCAGTATTAAGAAAGGAATGCTTCGGTGGTTTGATCATGTGCAAAGAATTAATGAGGAAATAGTGACAAAGACAAAGCTATGTTGCAGAAGTGAACGGCAGAGTCGGAAAGGGAATATAGCTGTAGCATGTCTCTACCACGTTAAAACTTCTTTCACAATTTACAATCTGCACCCATTTTTCAGGTTAACGTAGTTTGAATTGCTCTCTTCACTTTGGAAGACTGTCTAACCTCTTCGGAATTAGAGACGTTAAGCTATGTATAGTCGTATATGTCAATGCTGTTAGTTGTCTATTATTTATCTTTAAGGGTCATCAGGACCGTGTAGTGATGGTGTAAGAATATCCACTACCCCATATAGTTCCGTGGGTATCGTGATAGGCGACAGAGGGGAACAAACCAGGAGATAGGCAGTCGCGCCTTTTTAATAACTACTAATGAAATAAAAAATATTGCCAACTACTGGCATGGCAACTATGGCAAATATTTCCGCTATGAAGCAATCTTGAACGGCTCCGTGGCTCCGTCAAGTACTTAATAAATGGCCTACAAATCATTGTTCCGGGTCTGAATGTTTGTCCTTGTGAAATTTATGTACGTAAACTGACCCCACGATACAGGAGAAAATCCTAGTGTGGAGGTAACTATTATTTAGACAATAATAATTTATGATTGCGGCTTATGTTCAGGTAATAAATGGTATATATGGATAAATAAGCACTTTGTAAAAACACGCCAAACTATACCCGAATTTAATGTAATTAAATTACTTTTGCAGGGGATCCGATGTTATGCTCGTCGCCCACATCACTGGGGCTTTGCACGTCCGAACAGTTGTTGCACGACGACTCACATTACACCTCCCACCACCACGGTAAATAAAACCATTTTTATTCCTAACAGTACCTGACACAAAATTACGCACTTTTAAAGGAATGGGGATGAGCGAGCACACAGACCACCTGATGGTGAGTAAATATTGTGGCCCATAGACATCTATCTACTTTTATCCTCGATTAAGAATCAAAATGCAGATGCATTGTCACCCATGAGGACTAAGATGGAATGCCTCGTTTCCAGTAAAAAGTAAGCTGCTATTTCACGATGGTATGCTGTGGGAGCGCTGGTCCTACCCCGTTCGTAGCGTACTTGTAATATAACCATAATATAGCTGCAGCACGGCTCTACCTCATTTTAATGCATACAAGTGCACCCCGAACAATAGCTTAAAATCGCGCTATAGTCTATGCTATCTGACTATATATATATATATATATATATATATATATATATATATATATAGTAGGTACACAATCACTAGACATAATTAGACTTTTGTAACTAAACGTTTCTAAATTCGACCCGTTATAATAATGAAATTAGTTTGTGGTCTATAGTACCCAATAGACGGTACGATCCGTCGGTTCAAGAAATGACGGATATGACAAAATAAGCTCATTTTCCATTTTAAAATATAGTCGTTTCGTTTCAAACACGTAAAAGCTCCGCACGTTGATATTGCGACTGGCGGCCATCTTAGTGACGTAGTGGAACTGTCAGTACAGTACCGTTCGCAAAGTTAGCCAGCGCTTACGCGTATGGAGAACCTCTACCACGTGTTTTTTATAGCTTTTTATTTTCGTTATCCTGTTTTATTATTGTTGTTAAGTTTTGTATTGTAATGTTGTTATTGTTACTTATGTTACAACGAGTAAGAAAATAATTAACAGCCGTACGGGGAGTTGACAAACAAGCACACAGTGTACTTAATGGTAAGTGGATACTGTGGCCCATAGATATCGACATGTTCGGTTAAGAATATGCAGGTGCGTTGTTCCTTTTGAGGACGGAAGATGGAATGCTTTGCATCTTGTAAAAAAGGGTCTCTGGTTCTCTACACTTATTGTACAAAACACATTGAGCTGCCATTTGAAGCTGGTATTCTGTGAGAGCGTGGTCCTTCCCCTATTCGTGCTGCAAGCATAGTATAGCTTAAGTTGAATAAAACTTGGTGTGTGTCAGGTGCGGCGCTGCTGAGCGAGGGCCTGGGGCTGGGCACGGCGCTGTCGCTGGGCGACAGCTGCCTGCCCGGCCTGCTGCTGCACGCCGCGCCGCACTCCCCGCGCTCCCCGCACTCCCCGCACTCGCCGCGCCATGCCCGGCCCTCCTGCTTCGACATGGACCTCGGAGCATGACCACCACCAACAAAACCCACTCGTACCCCGATATGAACTTAGAACCAGCGTATGAATAACCATCCTAAATCACAATACAATCATTCAGACCATGAGCGATGCCTAACCGTGAGTTTGCACTGACGCGATTTTCATAAAAAAACATGTTTCAAACACTGTTTTCTGTCAATGTATCAAAGAGCGTTTGCATAGTCATATAGAACATGTAATGAAATTTGTTTGAAAGTTTATTGTACATTATATATTTTACCTATATTGAATCTTTATAAGTACAGAAATAAAATGTTTGAAAACAAATTTGTAGAAATATTGTCATGTTGAAAGATAAGTTTGAATATCTGTTGAAACTTTTACACAGTTTTTGTGAGTGTGAACGCCACCATCAACATAACATGTTGTGTGATTTATTTTATGCCATTTGTTTCAAAACATTACGTGTTAGATGTTTTTCGGTGCAAACGTAGTGTAATACGTCTTCTACTTTTAGTAATCCAGCTTTCTGAGATTTTTCAATACTAAGTAACTATAGTGACCAAATTCTGTGTTATCAAGTCGATTGCGCACATTTTTTCTTTTCACTCTCAATTTGAATGAACGGGGATCGCCTAAGTTGTCCTTTCATAATCTGTGCACAGAGCTCATCTTTTAAAATTGATCGAAAAATTACTGTTGTAAAGACAAAAAAATAACAGTATTACATTCGTTCGTAGTAGTGATTTGTTGTTCCTATACTATATAATTTTTAAATTTTTGACAAAATGTTTTTCTAAATTCTAGAGACTTTGTAAAAATACCACAAAAATTTATAAAATGTATAACGATCGACTTGTATGAACTTACTACATATCACTTACTAAGGGTAAACCATCTAATATCACTATTATATTATTTTTATAAATTGTTAATGAATTAATTAACATTTCTTATACCTATATGGAAAATTTTTAGTGTCTTAAACTACCTTTAAATCACACAAAATAAATACAAAGGTTCTCTTGCTGACGAGAAAGTTGGCGCTATAGTACCTATAAATTATAATAATTTTATGTCACAATAATAATTAGATAATACCTAGAAAGCAATATGTTCCCGACATCTATACATAAAAATCAATCTAAATAAGTATGACTTAGCCCCGAAAAACAACAGGCGCCTTTCATGGTTACTTAAAACTTTATTTTAGATTATCAAATTATATTGAGCAATAAGGGCGGTATTTTCACCTCAAGCTGTAGAGTTAACCCTGTTAGTATGGAGTATAGAAATAGAATAGTTGAAAAAGTGGCCATCTGTAAGCAGTAAATAACAGTTCAAAAACTCTCCACAACAGCGCTGGAGTAGCTACAGGGATGAAATGAACTTAGGAGTTGTCCACGGTTTGAAGTGTGATGCTAAACTGCTCAGTAACTCTAAAATCTTAAATAATTTTATTTAGTAAATATAACCTCGAAAAGTCTTCAATCCCACTAATATTTTTCGTCACGTTCTTTAAAATTTAGCCCGTAGCTATAGTGGCGCCACCCTTATTTAACGGTTTTCTTCGGACACTTTTTAATACACAGTCTGTACTCCTGACGTCTACACTCCATACCTGTTAGAGTTGATTGATGACGACTAATTGTTTATTGAGGATACCAGTTTTGATAAATATTAGTTACAGTGAGCGTATTATTTTTGTTGGTGGCGTCGGAGCATTTTAAGCCATAATATAAGTTCCTTTACATCTGATCATCGAAATCGCTGATCGTGATAATGTTACCAACTAACCATTTTTAAAATAAATCTTAAGTTAGCAATAACTGTGGTTGTATTTAGCTTATCACTTGTCACTATGACTGAATGTGGATTTTTTTTAAATTAATATGCGATTAAAAACAAAATTTTGTTTTTAAATAGTTTTCAAAGTTTCGACATTCGTATTTGAGTTTTGGCGAAAACTTAACCGCCACGCCGGCGATATGCTGCATCTGTTTTATCATTTAATTAATGCTTTGGAAAGTGGATTTTGATACGTAAAAGTAGTATGATCTTTTGTATTATGTGTCTGCCCATGTGAACTATTAGTGAAAATGATGTAACACGAGCGTAGACGATCTCAGAATTTTTATCCACTTCGGAGCCTTGCAATATTATCGCCATTAACTGTTTGCTGGGTTAAGCTTTCGTCAAAATTTCCTAAGTACTTCGCAATGTGACACATAAACATAATATCGTGATGAGGTTTGGAACAAAATACATTTCAGACTAGGCTGTATGGTATAAGACCTTTGCGTGCTTTAATTTAATTGGTGAATTGTAAAAACAAAAATTAAACTTGTATACAATACATGGTGCTCCATTTTGTATAATATTCTTATTTTTATATATTTTAATTATAATGTTCATAATGATGTAGTGTTAAAATATTTATATATACAACTGGGTATTTTATTAGTAAAGGACCACGATATTAAAATAATTTTATATACAAATGTGATACAATATATTTTTAGATGATATTTATCGAGAATTACGAATTCTATTTCTTAAATATGAATAGATGAAGTAAAGTCATTGGGCTATTATGTACTACGTACTAGAAGCAACACTGCATTCAGCTACTCTGTTCAACTCAACTGCAGTGCATCACCGCACTTTAATAAGTCACTCGCTAGGCGCTTGTAGAGTTGTCACTTGTGTTGATTTAAAAAAATCTCTTGATAAAAATATGGCGTCATTACCCAAATAATTCAAGAAATGTCAGTAAAAACCAAGGAATTACTTTTCATCGGTTAATAAGATACTTAATCAATAAAAAAGTATTATGTATTAATAATAAAACAAATTATTCCTAAGACGCCATCTCGTGTCAGGGAATATAGATTATGAAATTAATATGTTCAGATCCGATATTTCTGTGGGTACTTAAGTATAGGACGAATATATTATTATACACATTTTTTGTAGAGACATATATAAGTTATTATAATTTGGCAAAACTTTTCATGTTTAAATCTGCTTATTATTATTTTATTTTATTTTTACGTTTCCACATCAAAGTCAAAGTGGAATAAATTCGTTCATTTTTAACTCTCGCGTGCCCAGCATTTATGAACGACTTTTATTCTAATTTAAATAAGTATATTTGTAATGTAAATGTTATGTTAGTAAGTTTTGTTAAACATACAATTAGTATAAAAAAATTTAAGAAATCATTATACAATTAGTATGTTTTTTTTATATTTGACTTAGATACCTTTTAAAATATTCAGATAAAAATATCATTAAAATGTAATTGTGATATAATATCATGTAATATTATATTAAATAAGCAAATATAATATATAAAATAAATGACAATATTTAAATATTGTTCTCGATATAATTTACCTACTGATCATTCTACCTATGTTTATTGTATGATAAGAAAACAACCGCGCGAACACAGAGTAGCGCACATTTTTTGTTTGAGATAGCTGTTCTAGTACGTAAGTACATATTACTTCAATGAGTAAAGTATAAGCCTTTCTCGTTGAGGATTTCGCACTAAATCGTAATTTTCTTTATAAGTGTAAATAATAAGATTGTTGATTTTTGACACTGGTTTATGAAGTCACATATTATATTATATAAGTATATTTAACAGTTTAAGTGTTGATTTTAGAATCGCTGCCAAAAATGATTTTAGGAGGAAGTAGTAATTTGTTTCAGTTTTAGTTGGTTCAATCTTTGTTATTTGATATTATTTACATACTGCTTCAAATTTATTAATACGTAATTTTCGTAAGGTATTATTTATTATGTTATTATTGCATCATTTTGATTGCTTATGTTTATTAGGCAGCTATTGCTAGAAGAATTTTTCTTTGCGTGTCACATCCGTTTGATGGTTGGTAGAAACCTTGGACCCGAAATTTAAATGTAAACGGTGCCCCAAATTGTGATTAAATCCTATAGAATACAGTAATAATAGTGTTAAATATTAAATGAGCTACTCTATTATCATATCTACGCTATTCGCGACACAACTTTTTCCTTGATGGAAAGAGTTATAAATGGAAAGATGATGAAGACAGGGGTTCTTAAACTAATCATTGCACGGCTAAACTATTAAGATTATATTACACATTGTTATGAAGTTAGTGTACAGTTTTCAAAAACGAAGATTTTTTTTTTAAATTAAACCCAATGATAGTTGATAACGTCATTTATATGGTTATATATTTCGATTGGATACTTGTAGCATTGTATCAAAATTTGGTTCGATTTTCGTTTTAAGTTAAATTAGATTTTTGCTTAAAATATTAAGTAATCTTTTTGTTTGACTATAGAAAACTATAGCGTAGTTTGCCGATGTACCCGTATAATTCTTATAGAAAATTTTGTTTTGACAGCCACTTGAAATGACTCATTTCAATTGAAATGAGTTTCAACTACCCGCGTTTTGTTTTCAAATTATTTAATAATATGTTGTTGGTATTATTATTATTTTATAATTGTGGCTAGCTCGTGTGCTGTGTACTAGAATCGCTCGAATTATATTTGTGATTAATATAAATCTTTTGTGTAATTAATCGTGTATTTAATGCGCGTGATATTGCATCTTGAAACAAAAGTTTCGCGAATTATCTCGCGTTAAACTTTATCTCAATTTAGAAAATTTTAATTAATATTATAACCGCGAGATATTTGTATTACCAATTTTTGCTTCAATATGTTATGGCCATGTTAGGAGACGCTTATATGTCATAGCATTAGAGACTACTCACACGAGTGTTGCACTTGAATACTTAGTCTTTAGAATTTAATTAAAGTATTTCAAGAATTTAAGGTAGCTATTGTTAACACACGTGTGAAAGGGCCTCAATCTTTCGTACACTTTAATATTATATACACAAATTCTTTATATATTTATGTACATTGATTTATATATCACTGCAATGATAGTTGTACGATTATGTGTATTTCTGCGATATTGCAACGTTTGTCTTTGACGTCAGTTCTTAAGAGCAGGGTTGTTC